ATTTGATTATATGTGATGTAATCTATTTCTTCTATGTTTTATCGGGTTACTTTGTTTTTCTGTGTTTTATGGAGCTACTTTTCTAGTTTTGTTCTGTATTTATTTATATATTGTTAAATGTGATATGATGTGCGGAAAGTTTCAGCCATGTCTTTTTTACCCTGTAGAACCGAGCGAGTGTATGACGTAACACAGTTCGTTTCTGAGGGTCCACAAGACTCTGGGCCTAGCAGCAGACATATAACATTCAAACTTAGGCATTAAACAGCTTGTGTAGATTCTGGCTCAAAAATACTTAAAAATATTATCTAGATTAATAAATGTCTCAAATAATTTTGTATTTGTTATAATCAGAATCCGAATCTTGAAATGATTTCAGCATATAAATGTTTATAAGAAATTGTTCAAAGAATTTTAAACACGCTAACACAAATGTACAAATTAAGTGATTTAGACACCATTTACATCAAACCTCTTGCGGCTGTTAAAGTATTTAAATCTGATAATCAGAATATTGTCTCTAGCTTAGAAAACTATGTTCTGCAATTGTTTTATCTTTTCTAATATAGTGCAGTTTTGAAATTGATAAATAAATAAATAAAATTATAATTTGACTAATTATCTGCACGTGATGAGGTTTTCTGTTGTCAGTGCATTCTGTTTTAAGTTTTGTTTTAATTACATCTCAAATACTCTCTCTTTCTATGTCTAATATTTCTGTGAAAAGGATTATCTGTGCCTAAGTGAATGTTCCGTGACTATAGTCTGTATAGCCAGAATGAAAGGAGAGGTTTCTTATTTCTATATGATATATAACTAGGATCTTAAGAGCTGTCCAAGACTTCATAACCAAGGCTTCCTAACCAAATAATAACCACCACTGATTTACTCCTCCTACTCAGGAGCAGTATTGGACTGAAATAATCATGTAGTGGTTCATAAATGGATTAATATATTTGTATAGAGATCAGAAATATATTTTCTTCAAAGAAATTCTTTATTACAATTAATTATCCCTTTAGAAATTCTTGGATAACGGTTTTTTTTTTTTGTTTTTTTTTTTTTTGTTTTTTTTTTTTTTTGTTTTGTTTTGTTTTGTTTTGTTTTGTTTTTTTTTGTTTTGTTTTTTTTTAATTCTAAATATTTGTTCATCTGCTATTGTACAGAAATACAAGACAGAGCAACAAATATATTTTCATTATTTCTTTTAAAATCACCCCCCCCCCCCAATTTTCAAATCTAAAGGTGTTTTAGATTTAAGATTTCAGCACATTTTTGTATATCATAGAAATTCGAGATGATATATATTTATCTGATGTATACTAATGTTTGTATGAAGATAGCTCAGAGAAGAAAGCAGCTATAACAATTAATTTTAAGATAACATTAAAATTAGCAAGGATTAGCCCTTACTCTTGATCACAGATTCAGTTACAACTTTATTTATGTACTGAACACGTGTTTAACTGATTTTAGGCCATTAGATTTTGATGTTTTCTTTCGGCTTTCTTGTTTACATGTTTATCAGTACTATTACAAATAAAAAACTTCGATTATTATCTACATTTAGTAGCGGTATAATTGCTGAAGGCGAGCTTTGTTTCACACTTTAACATTAAGTGCAGTCCCGTATCTCTGTGTTTTAAGTCATTAAAGCAATAAAGCAAAATGAAAAAAAAAATTAAATTTATTTAAATCAAAATATTCTTATCTTTTCTTCAATCAAACTAAAGCTGTTCTGTACTTTTTGACAGTTTTTGTCGGGATCTAGTTACTGAGCCATAAAAGTCAATGAAGTGTGTGTTATCTAACTTCTTAATTAGACAAAGAAGTCTGGGATCTGCTATCACTTACTTTTCTACCATGACTTTTATTGTTTACTTTTTTATGCAAAATAAAATGGTAAATAGCTCGGGGAACCGCCCTCGCACTAGCCTTGTTTCAATAATCTGCATATAAATCAAAATACATTCGCTCATTAAAATAGATATGGTGACAAGGAGCGCATCTGTTTTGGAGCATTCTCTTATTTAATGGTTTGGTTTGGGTTTCTGTGCCAAAATACCGTACATTCAGCCATTAACACATAATGTATTGAAATGGTATTTGCTACATGTAAATAAAGCAGCAAACACAACCTGAACAAATAATAAATGAGTGATGGGACAAATTAGAATCCATTTATTCAAATCAATTTTTATTTTATGTCAGTTCATTTGCATTATAAACAATGACGTATTTTTCACATACGATTTTGCAAGTAAACCAGGAAAAGAATCCATGTAGTTTGTGTTTTCAGCATTAAATACATGTAAATTTTCTGCATGTAACCTGCACTTGTATTGCACATATTGTTAACAGTCACGGACAGTGGAAGTTAAATTCATCTTGAACACAGTAAGTGTTATATCTAGTGTCTTTCACTAATTAACAATTTTTAATAGCAAATGAGAACATGACAATATTAGTCATGTACTCATTGCTAATTAAAGACTGTTAA